TTTTTTTTTCCGGGGGCATGGTCAAACCTCCAAAAGGTTTCCCCACTAAAAAAAAAAAAAAAAAAGAAAGAAAAAAAAACTAAATCATGGCTGACTGATGTGTGACTCATGGCGTTTCCTCTTCTTAAAATACACTAGGATTTGAAGAAAAGCTAAAAAAGAACATCCTTGCTTAGGTTTTTTTCTTGTTGTTGCCGCTCCACAGTCATTTCCCTTTGGGCTTTTTTATTATTATTCAGACGCTCTCTGTGGATACTGTTTGCTGCATAGATTGAGCAGCAGGGAGTGGCACATTTCTCCTAAAGATCGTTGCAAACCTTGCCTCCTCTCACCTGCGGGGTGGGGTAGCCCACACCCAGAACACGAGCAGGTCCAACTGCATTCTGGTTTGTCCTTTTCATCCTCAATCCTCTGCCATCCGTCTCACATCACGTCCTGGAAGCGGTTTGGGTCTCAAGATGCCTCACTGCATAGCTATTCGGTTGTTTTTCTCCTCCCACCTTTCTCCCAACCCCCCGACTCCGTCTTGAGTCACATTGCGAAGCGGGATGTGTGTTATTTCCATGCATCAGAGGCCGAGTTACTCATCTTTTGGTGTGTTTGTCTGAGGTTTTCCAGGCTGCACATCTTCAAAATTACCTCCCATTAAATGAAGCTGGCATGTTGAAAGGATTGTTTGAAGGTGTGGCGTCTGGGACACAGAATGATCCGTTCCAGTTCATCTCACTCCCACTCCGTTATGTAATTACACTCCCAGCTTCTGGGTCTGACCTTTGACCTGGTCAGAACGCAGCCACATGGGTAGCCGTCTGCTGTCTGAACTGGTGGCGTGTTTTCTCCTCACCAAGGGTCAAGTTGGTGGAATATTCCCCTCATGATGAGCTCAGACTCTCCGTATGTCCCAAGTTTTTTTTTTTTCCAGACGTTTTGCATATGAAAACTAACAAACTGTTCCTGATGTGCGTGCCGCCCCAGCCCCCTTCAACTCACTTCGCATTGAACTCGCAGCTACCTAGAAACTGGATTTAAACTTGGAAGCGGTTTCACCGCACCTCCAGGCTGAACATGGCTGACGTCGCCGTGCTCACTGTGTGTTACGCCTCCATCGCTGATTTGACGTTTCCAACCCAAACCGGCACTGATATTTAATAAGTGCACTGTAAAACATCCGAAGGAGGGCTTAGCTTGACATTGAGATGCAAGAAAAGTCAACGGGAGAATTGTTCTGGTTTTAATTCAAAAATGAAAAGCTCATCAAAAATGATTCAGCAATTAGTCTAAACATTGTTTGTTTTTTTATGTTTTAGTTCTGACAGCGCATTAATCTTCAGTTGTGATAAATTTATTCTCAATTACCTTATTGAGTTAAGATTGATTAGTTATTGTAAATTGGAAGAAGAATGTCTAAAATGTATTTTATTGAATTTTAATTAGACTGAACATTTGCCTTAATAACACAAGAGGCGGGTCGCTGCAACACACGTCCATTTCACTCACAACACAAGATACAAACACACGTCAATGTCAATGTCAATGTCAAATTTATTTATATAGCACTTTAAAACAGGTATAAAACTGCACCAAAGTGCTGTACAAGAACGACAACACAAATGACAAAACAGTGTAAAAACAATACATCAATTAAATGCCAAAGAGTAAAAATGAGTTTTAAGAAGTGATTTAAAATGATCCAGGCTGTGGGCAGATCTAATCTGGAAAGGCAAGTTATTCCATAACATGATGCAAAGCACTCTGGGAAATAGTTCCCACTCCCTCATTCAGTTCTATTTTTATACCAACTTAAACACCTGAGCTCTCTCAACTTTTGGAGATATGACAAAATGAAGAAAATGTTAACACAACTTACAGCTGCATGTTTGTCTTTCAAAACTCACATAATTGAGTTCAAAATCTTAAACCTGCGATATTCCTTTGGCTTGAAGATTAGAAGTTAGATACAACTACACGTTTTTACAGTGTAATTTATTGTAAATTTTCCAGTATTTTGTTGGGATTAAATTTAATAGGACAATAAAGAGTGTGAGTTCATTTAACTGAAAGACAGACGTTTCCAAGCCTTTCTAAAGATTTGTATAGAAATTTGGGTCTGGACTTTGACTAGACCATTTTAACACATGTGTATCCTTTCGGTCTGATGGAAGGAAAAAAGCCAACAGGCTCGTCAGAAATGTATCTCCATCTACCTTCCTATCTACTGCCAACCAGACTGACAGTCCCTGCTGAAGAACCGTGGGCCCTCAGCATGATGCTGCCATTGCCATGCTTTTGCATGGCAATGGCATGCAATGCTGCTTTTGCATATTGAGCCATTTGGCCTACTAAAAAATGATGCCACACATCTCGTCTTCTGCTCTCGCGCCTCATTTGTGTCGGATTTGAAACGCAGGAATCCACTCACGACTCTGCAGGCTGATGATGAACAAGGAGGTGTTTGTTTGTTTGTTTGTTTTTACTTTTCCATTTGATTTTTTTTTATGGATAGAAGGTTTACTGCAGTTCAGAGTGTTTCCCCCTCAGTGTCCTGTTTCTTGCAAGAGTACAACCACAAATTTCTGTGAATTTTTTTTACCAGTACAAAGTATCGATGCACATCTACAGAGTAAACATTTCGCCTGTTCAGATTTTGAAAATATCTATGTGTCAACTGGACTTCATGTTAACATCTGCTAACATCCATTTTCCAGTTTTGCCAAAGATTCCCAATTACATTTCAGTCTGGAACTGGTCGGCCGATTCTAAAACACAAATATTCCTTTATTCAAACCCAGGACTCTCAAAACGTGGTGCAAGAACTTACTGGTTGTACTTGGGCCGCCTTTTCATGCCAGTCACAAGAATGTCTGGTATCAAATGCTTTCAAAGTAGATATGACTCTAATAACTATATTGTGACATTAAACAGAAAGCAAGTGCTGGTAGCTGCTTATTGCTAAGTCCTGCTCTCTCAAAATATCCAGCTTAGATCTGGGAAACTCAACTGTGCTCCAGATGGATGTTTAGGGACAAATACTCGACACCACCTCTAAAACACACTGATAAATCCCTCGTTATGCAGATGACAACACGCCTCCAGAGTACAAATGAGACACCAAATCAACTGTAGCCTCACCTTACTTTCGTAGCTCACCTTAAACTAAACAGTACAAAGTGTCTTAGAGGCAAATGACAATCTGTCACCGCGCTCATTTGGAGCACATCACTCCGCAATGAGAATTAAACGGTGACCATGAGTAATAACAATTGATGTCACAGCCGTGCGAAATGTCTCCCAACCTCCCCACCCTTTGCATTCCAGCGTGTTCCTCCTCGGTTTGCAATTAGGCAACGACTTGCTCCCGTTTGCCCCCCGCCCCGTTGCCACCAGCGACATGCCTTCGTCCCCTGGGACACCCTGGGAAAACACGACATACATCAGGAGGAAGAAGCTACACGGGTCATCGTTTACATGCCTAAATATACATGCGCATGTCGCCCGTGGCAACCACATTGTGATTATGCTTAGCTGGTTTGCAGTCTGTCGCCATGGCAGCGTGCGCCCAGTCAGAGTTTTAGGAGTTCCCCCCTAAGCATGGCCAGTGAGTCACCAGCGAGTAAAATCAACATCTTCAGCTGATTGGCAAAGACATGAGAACGAGAGGGGGGAAAAAATGACTTGCTTGGGTTTGTGAGTGTGTGCGTGTGTGTGTGCATGTGTGAGAGGGAGAGAGTAGCATATGGGCAGAACAGACAGGAGAAGGAGGCAGAGATTGTGTGAAAGGCAAACAAGAGGCTTGTCTGGGTGTGGACGTAAAAGAGGGCTGGGTATAAGTGGGTGTGGGAGTTTGTTTCTTATGCTTGTGCATTTAGACTCGCAGCCTGGAATTAGGATCACTGACAGCAGGAGGAAAAGGACGTGGAAGAGACACGCAGCCGTCTAACAGTAAGTCAGAGTTTTATCCCCGGTGCTTCTCAGGGCCGTGGCAGAGTCCAGGAGGGTCAGAGAAACCACATTTGATTATGCTTTCTTCTAACGGTCTGCTTTGGATGCTTTAACTCAAATTCAGAGGAAGAAAGGTGCACACTCAGTTGTCCACCTTAACCTGAACCTGTTTTTAATTTTCCACTCTGCTACTCTTTCACTGCTGGTTTAACTTTCCAGGCATGGTGGGATAAATTAAAATTTGGCTTGAAAATGTGGGTGAATTTAAACAATTTGAATTTCCAGCTTGGAAAATTGCAAATGAGATTTATTTATTTTTTTTTAATTTTTCGGGATGGGAAACTCAGCAATACATCGAGGCCAGACGTTAAAGTCTCCGCAGCAAGATTTGACAAGTTTGGCCTTTTTGAGTGAAAGTTGGAAGAACCGAATATTCCTCGATTAAACTTTCTGAAAATACAGTTTAATTTTTTAAAAAATTTTTAAACTTATCTAGATTTTATAATCTGGTTAATTTCTCGAAAGAATATGCTTTTTTGTTTGTTTGTTTGTTTGTAGCTTCTCAGCGCTTAAGGGTTGAGAAGGGAGCTAAAACAAAAAGTGAATCTTGTGATTTCCCGCGGTGAAATGGAAGGCGGAAAAGTCGGAACGATGCCCCGAGCTCTGGTCACATGTCTGCCAGCTCGATGCCCCGTGCTTCCAGGAGGGTTTTCCTTTCTTTTTTTTTGCTTGGATGATGACACGGAACATGCCAGAATGTTTTCTTTTTTTTTTTGGAGGGCCCAACCCTTGACCGCTCCTTTACCGAACCAACACATTCCAAGAACCTCTGATGTCTCCCACCATATTTCACCCAAACGCGGCTCGTGTACACACGAGGCTCTTTACGAGCGACTAAAACTGTAATTACAGTTTTACAGTGAAAGCATGAAGCAGTTTGTAAAATGGCTTCTGCATTTTGTTTTTTGTTTTTTTGTTTTTTTGTTTTTTAAGGCAGGCAGGGCTGCATCGTGTGCCAGAGTGTGGAGGGATCAGCATCTTGGTGAGAGAACTGGGCGTGTACGCTACAGTTATTTCAGGGAGTGGCAGGTATCCTTCAAGCATTAGACAAGCCCATACTCATCTACCCACCAGGAAGTCTTCCAGGCCCTCCCTGCCAACAATTTCTGTGTTTACTGACCCCCCTCCACCTCTCTCCCTAGCAGAACCTCTTTTATAGACATAAACCTGAGTTTGGTTCATGAGAACCCATTGGCTCTCTCTCTCAAAAACCCAAATTAGAAATGGAGTACAAAGGCCCTGAGTGGTTGTGGCGCCTTTTGGTTTCAAGCCTTTTAGAGCGAGCGGGTTGACGTCCATGATGTTTTTGTTGTAGCGTCAGCTGCACGTTCAAAATTGTCAACTTCAAACCCCGTTTTCTTTCCGTTTGTCCCTGCAGAAAAGTCATCATGCTGGTTCTCATCGCTCTCTCGATTCTTCACATCGCAGCCATCATCCTGCTGCTGGTGGCCACCATTGACAATGTAAGTAAAGGCTCCGTGAAAACACGTCATGCAGGTTTGCTCAGTTTTAGCTCGTCTTAAAGATTGCTCAAGAAGAGTGAAAAGGATAGCTTAGCAAAGCGAAATGCATTTAATAGCTTACCTACAACGGAGAATTAGGTGCAAAGAGAAAAATATGATTTCAGGAAATGACTGTCTGACAAGACAACCCCGATTCCCATGGCAGATGTCCAACCGTGACATCTGCCACGCTCCTCCTGAGCATCACGCTAAGACTGAAAGGAGGGTCTTTGTTTTGGGTTCTACTCTTCCAAAATGTGTTGTGCCAGCAGGGGGCGATAACGTTTCAATTAGCATAATCAAGCAGATGAGACAGATGTGTGTGTGTGTGTTTTGGGGGGGTGTATAAAAGATGTTATATTATTGCTGTGAGGGTTTTTTTAACACAAAAAAGTGAGAAGCGAGTCTCTACATCATTGCTTTCAATTGTTCTAGCAGATAATATACATTTTGCTAAATATCTGGGTTAATATGAACATAGTCTTAAACCCAGATTTGGCTAAAGCTAAGCTAATAGCTTGTTCGAAGATGGGCGGGGACTGAAGTTGATTTCTAGCATCTCAAAACAACTTAAGTCATAAACATTATACTAGTTCATGCTAAGGCTATTTTATCCATTTTTAAACCATCATAACATTTGATTTGGCTGATCATTGACATGGAATAATTGACGTAGGAAATAGAGGTTGGAGGCGGTGCACCACCTCTGATCTTCCTATGTGAAACACAAACTATTAATGCAACCATGTAAAGAGTTCCAGATAGAGTAACTAGCTAAAAGAGAAGGTATTGCAAAAATAACATATTAATAATAATTTAAAACTAAATGTTCTCTCTGCTTACTATCAAACACACAATTTAAATATTCGGTTCTCGGTTTGTTTCTCACTGGAAAGCCATTGGTGGCGTACAATTTCTTTCCCCCATTTCCCATGTAAATCGAATCCTCTGAAACTAACCACCCAATGCAAACATGACCACCACGGTTTTAAAGGTTCATGAAATGACATCAGCATAAAATACTTTGAGATTTTAGTTGTGTTAAGTCGTGAACTTCAGCGACCAAGAGAGTAATCTACAGCAGGGAAGATATTGACAGCATGTGACCCAATCTAATAGACTTTCAGGTCCCTAAGTCTGATCACTTGAGTGTCGTCTCTCTAGACTTTCATTCCTCTCCTGTTAGCGTCTCACTCTTCCGTTCCAGGCCGCATACCCCTCATTTCTCTTGGTCACAGTAGATCACAGTTAGTTTAACAAGCCAACCTGCACATGTCGCTCAAGACACATTCAAATGTCTAAGATTTCTCTGAGCGCTGCGCTCCGAAGTGAGGAATGAGTAATGAGTAATACCTTGGTTATGCGCCATCCATCCTAAAAACGCTTGACGTTTTCTCTTCGCTAAGGTTAACGCATTCATGGAATAATGAAATGGATTGTGTGTCAAAGGATTTGATTTGATTTCTCTGCTCATCTCATCAGGCCTGGTGGGTAAGTCCTACCATGAGCACCGATGTGTGGGGGCGCTGGGTATTGACAAACAACAAGTGGAACTTGACCGATCTCCCAAGCAACTATGAAACAGGTAAGCATCAACTGTCTTCCCAAAACACTGATAAATTTCACCTCGATTTCCAACCATGCATTATCACTTTGCTCACATCAGTTCACATACTGATTGTTAGCATAGGAAGAAATGGCTCACCACCAATTTCAACTGGATTTGCTCATTATACTTTAAATTGTAAAATACTCGACTGATCAAATTTGCACTGCATGGATATTGCTTTTAAAACAGATATAATCGAAAGAAACATTTATCTTGTTTGAAAAAACACAAAACAAGAGATCTGTTGGTGGATAATCATCAATTGACATAAACTTTAAAAAAATTATATATATATATATATATATA